ACCAATCTAAGGAATAGTTCAGAGGCACAGTTGGCAGGATTTTGTGCTCGGTAGAGTGTAGATCTGAAGGACAGATGTCATGGAGAATCCACTGGGTTAATTGTTCTACTTTGTCATCTGGGAGGATGGACAACTGATCTTCAGAGTCAGGAATGCAGTAGTAATATATCAGCCCAAAATGAGAGGGTTTAAAGGGCTCCCTTGACCTTTGTTGACCGTCTGCTATGCGCTAAAACCCGACAGTCATCACAGAAAGTGCAGATGCTCACAGCCAAATTATGAAAGACTGTTGGCCTCAAGGGAAGCCAAAAAACATGTTCTGGGAAAATGCCAGAAAAGGGCCCCCTGGCCCTGTCTGTGGTATTCCCTATGGACAGGAAGCACATGGGCCGAGTTCCACTTGGGCTCAGCGTCAGATCTGATTGCTCTAGCTGCACCTGAAGCAGATAAAGAGAGCTGCTGAAATAAATACAGTGATTAAGAACTTGGGATTGTGAGCACACAGAGAAGAGAGCAGGTGAAATTTCAAACTAAAAAACGATTAATCCCTGAATTGAAAAGGAAATTTCAAAGATAAGAAATGTACAGACTGCCCAGTAGAAAGAAGCGGGTAGCGCAGGAAAAGCGGCAGATGGCTACCTGCACGCCAAAGGAACAAATGTCTGAGAAAAAAATGAAAGTGGAAAACAAAAGACGTTTTTGAGCATTTTGGAGGTAATTTTCGTAGGGATGAAACCCCTGCAGAAATAAGTCAGGGAATTCTAGATGTGCTGGAATGCATTCTGAGGAATATTCAAGCAAACATTCACCACAGTATTGGTGACCAGAAGTGGTATATTTTGGTGACAACCTCTCCAGTGTTCGGAGGAAGTATAACAGAGGTTTACTTCTGGGAATACCATGAATTATATCCCAAGGTCTTTGAGAAAGGCTCACAAACACAAATTTGATAGTGTTCCAGAAATCAACCAGTGTCTTCTTGCCGAAAAGTAAATGGCAACTCTTCCAAAGTCAGGAGGCATTGGCTCAGGATCTAATGGGGAGAATCGTAGGAACTCAGGGTAAGAATGCCCATGAGACAGGGTCAGTGGAATATGATATATAAAGGGAATCTTTGAAAATGAAGTGGTGAGTATACAGTTTTTACAGTACTTCAAGGCATATACAGTTTGCTACATAGTATATACCAAATTATATAGCATATATTCATTAGAAGTCTTATTGTATTTTATCCATAGTATATTACATAGGCATTATTAATAGTCGGTTATGTTTTGAAATTAGAGAAGATTGTGCATGCATGTGCTCTCATGACTGCACGTGGGTAAAAATGGCAATAATTTGCATAAGAATCAGAAGGGATCTATTATCCCCAAAGAGTTTCAGCTGTGATGAGAGCTCTGCTTCTTGACGATTACAGAGAAAAATAAAATAATAGCAAATACTTAAATAGCACTTTCTATTGTCCAGGCACTATCAGAAGCACTTTACAAATTTTATTTTACAGAGAAGAAGTGACAATGGGTGGCAGTCCCTTTTTTTCTTTCTTTTAACTATTTCTAACTTTAGTCCCCCCATCAACTTGTTAGTGATTCAATTTTGGTCTTGAGGTTTGATCTGAATTGATATCAAGAAGCCCAAGCAGATCCAAAGACCTGTTTCAAATGATCTATGACCTTTATACATTTTTACTGAGGTTAAGAGTCTTACCTTACCAGGAATGGTTTGATTGATTGCCCACCCACACAACAAATAGAGTATAAGTGTACGACACAGTGATTGTCAAACATGTTGACCCAAGAACTCCTGAAGAGCATAAGGGAAAATCTCTGCAACACCACGTGCCATGCCTGCTAGTGCAAGACAGAGGGTAGGTTGAAGAGGTAGGTGGTGGCTTCAATCCAGGAATAAAGTCCCAAGTGGCATGTCACAAACCCAACTGTTCTGTTTTATCTTAAAGTCTTGAGCAAGTATTGAATTCCATTCTATAGTATTCACCTGTTTCTTTCTATGTAAAACAAGGATTCAACACACACACACACACACACACACACACACACAAACTTAAAATTATCATTCCGTGATGAAGAATCCTGTTCTCCTTGGTTTCACATTTTTCTTCCTAATACCTTGAGAAATATTTATGTATATATTTCAGAATCACAACTTCAACTTTTTGTATTCCAAGTTCTCTTCCATTCTTTAACACTCTTAAAGAATAACTGAAGGTAGTCCCTTAATGGAAAACAGAATCATATGCATACCAAGTCTTAGCAAGTAGTACTTTTACTAAAGATTTTCTTATTTTTAATGCTTAAGTCTTTAGATTCATTATTTTATAGCACTTGAAACTATTGACAATCATTAAAAAGGTTTAATTATACTATTACTGTTACAAATTGCTTTATACTATAAAAACTATTGCTGTGTCTGGTGAGCTATAGTGACACTACTGCAGGTGCCTTAAAAACAGGATGTGTCGTGGGGGAGTGACTGGGGTAACACAGGGGAAAGGGATAAAGAGGCACAAAATCTCAATTATAATATAAATTAGTCACAGGGATGAAAGTACAGCCTATAGAATATAATCAATAGTTCTGTAATATCTTTCTGTATTAACAGATAGTACCTACACTGGTTGGGGTGAGAATTTAATAATGTTTACAATTGTTAAATCATTATGTTATATACTTGAATCCAGTAAAATATTGTATATAATTATACTTTAATAAAATCGTGAAAATAAAAATAAAAAGAAGTTGTGCTGATTGAGGACCAGGTGAAAAGGATTCTGTGAAGGGATGGTTGTCTATTTGTCTGTTTCTGTACAAAGCAGGTTTCTCTGAGGAACTGTCCCCTGTTGTTTAGTAATTGACCCAACAGCAGAGAAAAGCTGAGCAGAAAGTGTGTTCAGAGAGTAACATGAAGAACTTTAAGTAATACAAAATGTCCAGGAGGCAGGAAAACTGAAAAGCATGCAGTAGAAAGAACACTGTTTAGTGACCAATCCATTCTCACTTGGCCCAAAGTAGAAGACTCGTTGTACTAAAACGTAGTAGAGAGATGCCAACTCTGAAATATGACAAAGAGACAACACTGGGAGATTTTGCTCATCTAGTGATAGGAATATTTATATCCCAGTTGTAATGGTATTTATTCTGTACAGGGATATATCTTAAATGCACAGAGAAAGAAAATAAATACATACTCACTCATTCATCTTTGGTTTATTATTGTTTATCTAGTTGCTGAACATTTTACCTTGCACATAGTTGGGACCCAGAAATTCACCCAGTCATGCATGCAACATATACAGCATATATTAAGCACCTACTATATTCTGGTGATAAGGATACAACATTGATCACCCTGTGAAGAAACAAAGCCCCTCATGGGGTTTCACATTCTTGTATCAGCAAGATGCTTGTATTCTTAGGCTACAACCTAGGGAATCAGTGAATGTAAGATAAGAGTCATCAAGTGCCCAGACTGTAGAACATGGTGACCTGGGTTTGAAAGTGCTCTATCACTTACTATTTGACCTTGGGCAAGTTTCTTAGCCATTTGGAGACTTAGTTCCTTCATCAACACAATGGGAATATGAGGCATAATGTGATATGCATATATATATGTGTGTGTGTGTGTGTTAATGCAAGTGCTTAGATCAATGTTTGGCTCTAATAAGCACATATACATGTCAGTTATTGTTCTTGCTAAGCAAAATTCATCTAAATTTAACACAAGTGACCTCAGTGGATTATTGATGTTTGTATTACCTGTTCAAAGAAAACTCTAGAAGGTAAGAAAGAGCATAACTCAATGGTTATCTGTATCTCTGGTTCTCAATTTCCTTATCTGTGAAGAGGTGATAAAAGATCTTGACGGCGGTTCTACAAGGATTAAAGGAAATTATGTGTTCAATGTGCTTGGCACAAGGCCTAGCTGAGAGTAAGCATTTCTTAAATGGGGCTGTTAAAGTTGTAGCTTGACTATATTGAATTGACAGAATTGATTTAGATAGTTTTTACCATTGCATTTTAGTGTAAAATAGATTTAACCCATCTTTTTAGCCACAATATCCTGAATCACAAGATTAATATTATCCTCCATGAAATACTATTTTCTTCTGAGATTCTGTTTTTACTTTTATAATACTAACATTATTTAATGCTAAGAAAAACTTTTCTAATTCCCAAGAATCACCTATGTGAGAATGTTGTTCTACTGCCAATAGAGTATTTTATTATCACATCCTAGTAGATATTGGATGTAGTAATAGATTATTAAGTTACCAAGGAAAACTCTAAGAAAAAAATTAAAATAAACAAACAATGCATGGTTTCAACTTTTCAAATTTATACATCAGTGTACTTAACTAAAAATGAAAACAAAACAACAAACAAATATCAAATCAAGAGTTGTCATTTTTTTACAGGATGACTCTCCTGATGCTTTTTCAACAATGAATATAAACTTATACCAAGAAACCAAAACAATTTTTTCCTTTAAAAGGTTTGGTTTTCTATTGAATTACATCTGAACTGCAATATTATAATCTCAAAAATTATACTAGCAAATAAGTGATTGTATCAACTGGGAGATTTCACAAGTCTGATGTGTTTCCAATACTGAAAATTTTAGTCATAGCTTTGGGGATGATAGTATTTGTTGTGCCAGTTTTCTACAAGCCAATAAAAATATAACTGGTGGGAATGGCATTGAAAAAAAAATGAAACTTAGCCTAAAGATATGCTGGTACATTCATAGCAAATTCTGACTCATTATTTGTAGTATTTAGGGGAAAGTTCCTTTTAAAAGCGGTTTCTTGGCTTGAATGAAATTCTAGTTCTCTGCGGTTTGATTACACTGAAAAAGAAAATGCAGGTGATTTGGAGATTAAGTGTATTTTAGGATGTATCACCTGTTGATCTCAAATTATATTTATGATGAACTCTTCATCCCTGTCTTAACCTACCCCTCTACCTCTTTCCGTTCCACAGAAAAAATTATGACCTCAGCATCCAAAGGAATTCTCCGCCCATTTTTAATCGTCTGCATTATCCTGGGCTGCTTCTTGACCTGTCTGCTCATCTACATGAAGCCCACCAACAGTTGGATCTTCAGTCCCATGGAGTCAGCCAGCTCAGTGCTGAAAATGAAAAATTTCTTCTCCACCAAAACCGATTATTTAAATGAAACCACTATTCTGATTTGGGTGTGGCCATTTGGGCAGACCTTTGACCTGACATCCTGCCAGGCAATGTTCAACATCCAGGGATGTCACCTCACAACAGACCGTTCTCTGTACAACAGATCTCACGCAGTTCTGATCCACCATCGAGACATCAGCTGGGATCTGACAAATTTACCTCAGCAGGCGAGGCCGCCCTTTCAGAAATGGATTTGGATGAATTTGGAATCACCGACTCACACACCCCAAAAGAGTGGCATTGAGCACCTGTTCAATCTGACTCTGACTTACCGCCGTGACTCGGATATCCAAGTGCCTTACGGCTTCTTGACGGTGAGCACAAACCCCTTCGTGTTTGAAGTGCCAAGCAAAGAGAAGTTAGTGTGCTGGGTTGTAAGTAACTGGAATCCTGAGCATGCCAGGGTCAAGTATTACAATGAGCTAAGCAAAAGCATTGAAATCCATACCTATGGGCAAGCATTCGGAGAGTATGTGAATGATAAAAATCTGATTCCTACCATATCTACTTGCAAATTTTACCTTTCCTTCGAAAACTCAATCCACAAAGATTACATCACAGAAAAGCTCTACAATGCTTTTCTGGCTGGCTCTGTACCTGTCGTTCTGGGGCCATCTAGGGAAAACTATGAGAACTATATTCCAGCAGATTCATTCATTCATGTGGAAGATTATAACTCTCCCAGTGAGCTAGCAAAGTATCTTAAAGAAGTCGACAAAAACAATAAGTTATACCTTAGTTATTTTAACTGGAGGAAGGATTTCACAGTAAATCTTCCACGGTTTTGGGAATCACATGCCTGCTTGGCTTGTGACCATGTGAAAAGGCACCAGGAATATAAGGCCATTGGCAATTTAGAGAAATGGTTTTGGAATTAACGTTTTCTGTCATTTGCACACTTGGCAAAATTATTTTGATGCAATGTCATCCAGGTTTCGAGGATGAGAAGAAAGACAACATTCTGCTTTTGTGTCACAATTTATTTGTATCACTCTCTCTTGGACAACATGCATATTTTGAAGAGAGATTTTTAAGAGCTCAGCATTAGCAATCACTCCATTTGGTTATAAATTATCCTGTATATACCTAATTATGTGCACTGAAAAAATAATTTATTCTTCACTACAATTTGTAAACATTCTTTTTTCACATATTTGTAGCTGTGTGTAATGTAAGTTTGTGATATGATTTCATTTCTACATCAATCAGCTGTTTAATCTTTGGAAAACGAAGACGCATGTCTTAGTATATGAAATATTTTCACTAAATATTATAGTCTCTTGTTCCAAGTTTGCATACTGCCACAAAGGAAAGGTGTTTGTAATTTAATTCTAACCTCTTTGACTTTGAAGTTGAACAAAGTGTACAGCTGTCGCTATTTGATCTGTTTTTACCTGTTTACCACATTTGTGAAGGCAGAGTTACTCACACAGTAAATAAGAAAGATAGGGAAGCATAACTGTTCTATTCAGGAAACTATAGCCTTCCCATTTATTTCCACTAAGCTGACTTGCAAATGTAGCCACTTGCTCTGATGATCCTAAGTTATATTATTCAAGTATTTTTAAATATCAAACTTTTGGGTATTTTTAGTACCTGGGAAATAATCCTAGTAACAGTTAAGAAAATCTGAGACAGTTCTCTTCCTGACCCTGATAGCACTATTTTTGTAATGATAACAGTAATTTCCTCAAATAACAAATGAAAAGACACAAATGTATAGATATAAATCATATTTATAAATGGTACACTTACGTGCAATTTTGAATTACGTATCAATTTAAAATATTTTCTTCTCTAACCCCAATATTTAAGTTGCATTCACCATGTGGACAAATAAATAGACAACATTGGAGAGGTCTGTGCTATCATCGAAAAGAACCTAAGTAAAATTATCATCATAGTTTTAAATATAAAATGTTAAGCATAATAAAGTAGAGATCTATAGGAAACACACAATGCTAACACAGAGTAAGATCTCAGGACACATTTGTTGAATGAACCAGTGAATGGCATTGGAAGTCATGGGAAAGTTGAGTTTCTGTCAATGAAGTGAAGGTTCTAGGCTAGAGGTACTAACGGGAGATGATGTTTTAAATTCCATTTAGTAATTATTTATATATATAGCACACACATCCATGGCCCTCAGAGCTTTACAGAACCAGAAAGAAGTTGTCATTATGCTAAGTTTGGGGAGAATTCATCCCTGAACTCACAGTTGCTATAGAGCATTTCTCCATAAAGCAAAGGGCTGGATATAAGAGAGAATAACAGATGAGAAAAAATGGGATGCTAAGGATTCTTCAAGGAAAACAGTCCCCGAAAGAATCATTAATGACTTTATTCCACTCAGGCCAAATCCCATCAAAAGAATTAGAATGTTCTGATGATATCCACTTGGGTCTACTTGCAACTTATTCTAATAGCCCTATGACATGTAAACAGCAGATCTCAAATCCACAATCTTCTACATCAAATGGAAGTTAGAGAAAAAGGTACATTTGGTTTAGTAGGCGGTACACCCCACAATCCAGACTGCCCTGTGAGGATGAGCTCTCTGGAGCACTAGGAGAATTTGAGCAAAAGGAGATTCCTGCCCTGGGCAGAGGTTTGTTTGTGTCTCTTGTTCATTTCCTTCCCGGTGATTGAACAGGCACGCTGTGGCGGTGACTCCCTAACCAGAGAGAGAGAGATGAACAGCTCTATCACTGCTCTAAAAGAGCTTGCAATTAAGTGGAGAGATACATGAAAGCTTCCTTTGAGTCTATGTTTATGCACATAGTGCTCCCAATGGACTTTATGAGTCACCATTGATTTAATGAAAGTAAGATAGCAAATTGCCTCAGTTGCTTAGGTCTTTGGCATATACCTGTGCTGCAAACTTTGTTTACATAGTTGATGCAAGTAGAATCTCTCTCCATACTATCTCTTCTAACACTGCATCAAGAAACAGTATGTCTCTTAGGTAAGGGAATGATCTAAAGGATGCCCTCTTAGGTAAAGGAAGATCTAAGCTCATTTTTATTTTATCATGTTAAAATCGGCAAATTCATACATTTGTGTTTACTTTGTTACCTTTTTGGCCTATAAAAAGTGTAGGGATGTAAACAGGGTGCATTGCTATACTTTTAGAAACCACCTGCTTTTTTCAAAAACAAACAAACGCATTCAATAGATATCATGGCAATCTGCCATTGCTAGGGTGGACCCTTATGACATCAAAGAAACTGAGGGCGTTGTCTCTGTTGTTGACTATAAATTTGGTCTCTTTCTTAAACCTCCTGTAACTCACAGTTTTAGGTCATAATATGACCCAAGCCGAGGCAATAATACTAAGTGACTAACTGGCACATGCCTACATTGAAAACCCATTACTGAGTCCCAGGAGCCTGAGGTTTCTGAATTTGAAGTCCCAAAATGAGTAAGTCAGCTGAACTCTTCAGTCCTGGGTCCATTTATCTGAGTTTTAAGGCTGGAAGGCATGAAAGAATTGTTTACAAACCAACCCTTCATTCTACTCATGAGAGTTAACTAGATGCAGAGATAATATTTATTTAAAAAATCTCTCACGCTCACACACATACCTCACAGCTATGACAAGACTAGAATGTAATGGCCCTATATCTCTTAATCCTTCACGTCTCATCTTTTTCTCACCTTTATCACAGAAGCATGTCTCAACTCCTAAAAATGTGAATACTTTACTGGTGTTAGGGCCTGTAGAATGGTACACTTTATATGGAAACCCTTTCACTTTTGAAAAGTACACAAGTAAGTAAAACATCAAACTTGTTAGCTTTCTTTCTGGTCTAAATATTTTAAGTATTGAGCTGTAGCAGAAGGAAAGGGGCTTCCACTACATTTTAAGTGAAATGTAACTCTCAAACTTTTGTATGGTTCTCAGGCATTGTTTTAATTAATCCTGTGGATTGCAATTCATTTTAAGAATATCTCCTGATGAAAAATGAAATCTATAAAATTGGCTTACAGCTGGTTTCAAAAACAAATTATGCAGGAGATAAAAAGAGACTAGACCATTTAAAAGTTTCATTTCAAAATAAAAATCTTTTACTTTCAATGGTCTGAATATTTAAGTATTGATATTGTAGGCCTTACTAATAAAAATATAGAAATATTAATATTATGGTTCTTAATAGTAAGAACGTACACTGAATTTTCCATACCCAACAGTATTACACTCTGAAAAAAAAATGACAGCCATATTTTATGACAGCCATAAATTTGACAATATGAAGTAGGAACTTTCCTTAGTGGAAAACCAGTATCAGCTTAAAAATTTTGCATTTACTGCGTGAATCCTAATAATCCTAGAGTGTGCAGAAATGTTTTCTGTTGTAAGGGCTTAGAAAGCTAGGAACATTTGAGGTGTAAAGTGGCAGAACATTTATAAATTATTTGCTGAGCCTTAAATCTTGCCGCCAATTGGAGGTTAAATATGGAAAGAATAGGAAACTACATAATTGAAATACTTTTACCTGCTGCTTTTTAAGTTATATTCTCCGAGTCTTATGGTAATCACCTAGAAAATGTCTTTGTATTCATTAACGTTACCAAAAACGTTCAGGTCCTTATATTACCATTTTGTGCTTAAATAGTTGTTTGAGTTTCCCTGAACTCCGATCTCATTTAGGGAAACTTCTTAACAAATTAAGTAAAATCAAGTTGTTAAATATCAGACACTTCAAGATCTAAAAGATAAGAATAGTGCCTAGGACAGAGAAGGATCTCAAAAAATATTTATTGAATGAACAAACAACTTGCATTATGAGTCATGCAAAATATCATTAAATGTGATAACAGTTCCATCTCATTGATACCAGTTAGAGATGATATTTTACATTCATTTAATCGGTCAGTGTGTTGCCTGGATACAAAGGCAGGCATTTTATGTCCTCTAGTCTTACTGTGTTCTAAGACCCCCCCAAATAAGCAACATTTCAAGAAAAGTGAAAACATTTTTGGACATGCTAACATCATATTCAAATATTAACGTACCAACTGTTTCTAATAGGAAAAACAATTTGAACTTGAGGAGAATATAAAATGTAAGCTCTGTGAAGGGCACATATTTATGACCAAACTATATACAGAGAGAAATAGTTTCTTCCTTAACTGCACTCCATTGTATTGCCAACATCAGTCAGTTGAGATGATTATTGTTTTCTAGATGTGTCTCATCTAGACTTTTTGTAGATTTTTGCAAGCTCCACCACTCTCCAAAGTCTTCTCCCTCTCAGTAATTCATATTGAATGCATCCATATTCATAAGCGTTAGAGCAGTTAACAGAACATAAATGAGAGCCTGCAAAATGAGAAATACGAGTAATGCTCGGCTGAGTTATTGGTTCAACAAACTGTAATTTTGACAAAGCCACTTAGCTTCTCTGGACCTTGTTGTTTATAAGGCTCTTTCTAGCACTATTCCTCTCACATCTAAGTTCTAAACTGATACATGCAGATGTTTGCAAATTAAGTCCCAGTGATTGACTCAAAATAAGTTTCTGGAGGTAGGTATTCCAAACAGATTTCCTCTTATTTCTCTGAATAGACCTTTAAAGTATAAAACTGGTTATTTAAATGAATATGAGGAAAGAACCTAGGGCAGGGTTTGGAGTGCAGCAAGGACTGATCAGCTGACCCTCCTCCTTTAACCCCTTCCTCTCCTTGGTCCTTGACCTCTATCCCTCACGATTCATGTGTTCACTATTCTCTGAGACCTTAATTGCTGGCAGAAAATGAACCATATAGTGGGCTTTATTTTAAAGTAGTGTAGATTTTTTTTCTGTGTCAGCCACACTTCTCAAAATAATCTAAAAAGTTTTACTGATGCAAACATTTCAGGGAGGCCGTCGAGGCACAGTAATCCCTCATTGACACTGAAATAGGGAGCATACTTTAAGTCCTATGAATAACATCTAGGCAAGTTGTTATTTTTTACCTCATGGTTAATATTTATTTATTCACTTGATTTATTTTGAGAAATTTTGAAAAAGGAATTTAAAAAAAACCTCTCCAACATCAGCTGCCTTTTGTCAGTGTTACTGAAAAGCCTGGATCCTGGGTCACCTGACCTTGAATCACCAGAGGTGTTTATGAATAGCGCTAATGCGTGCGCCCTGCTTGTGCAATAGGAATCTTTTCAAATGAGTCTAAAACACCGTGCTCTGAACACATTTCCTGAGATGCTCTGTTCCATGTTATAGTTTATGAACCATCCTAAGCTAGTGGTTCTCAAATACATATATCATTGGGATTTCCTGGATCTGCTGTATAAGGATCACTTGGAAGTGTTTTAGTCATGCTCCGATTCTAATTCTCTAGGTCTGAGCTAGAGTCTCTATTTTAAAAATCTCCCCACATAGATCTATTGTGCTGTCAGGTGTGAAATCTGTGTTTAGCTATCTGTTAAGTGGAAAGTATTGTATTGATTAATTGATATGAGCTCTGGCCTTTCTTCAGTTCATGTGGAATCTTCCTGTATAGTTCAGTGATGTATTCCTTTCCTTAAAGAACTAAAACCTTCTCTATGCCTAATTATTTCATGAGCATAGTATTGGCTATCTGTTGATTTGGGGTAGGGTATTGACAGTCTCCAGATCTTCTCAGTTGTGAGTGGTTGATAGCAGTATTTGAATCACCTGGAGATGATTTAACAATAGCAGAGGCCCAATCTCACCTTCAGAGATGTGGTCAAATAGTTTGTGACAGGGCCTAGAGGCACACAGTTAAAAGGCTCCTCATGTGATATTAACATGGGGTCACCAGTCTAAACAAAAGACAGGAACAATTCTTGGTCTAGATGAATGATTAGGAAAGGAAAAGGTTATATACCTTTAAAAAATCTCTCTCATCCTCTTTTAAGTTCTAGCTACATGCTTGTATTTTCCAATGTGAAAGAATTGACTATTCAATTACTAGGACCATTCACAGCCATAAAATTTTGTGCTTCTGCTGTTTAACCACTGTATGTGTTTAAGAGACCTCTTTCCCCCATCCCAGAGTCCTTGTTTGATGGATAGAAAACTAATTTGCAATGAGCTGTAGCACATGGATTTTTGATGACCACAGATATAGAATTGAATCCCAGCCTGCCACAAACTATGTGCAAGTTACATGACTTCTCTAAGCTTCAGGTTTGGCATCTACAAAATAGAAGTAACATATTCTTGACATGTTGTTTTCAAGGACAAATGAAATGACCCTTTAGCAAATAAATAATGTGTTCAATAAGTATTACTTATTATAATAGAAGATCATTGTGAGGAATCCAAAAGTATTTCCACAATTACAATTCTAAAACTCTGAAAATGTTAAGACATTATAAGAATTATTGCAAATTTAAATACATCAAAGGAATAACTTTGAAGAGAAGAGAAATAAATGAATACAGTGTGGAAGCACACATTCACTTCACTATCATTAGTAAGTAATGGAAAAGGTGTGGGGAGCTGGCAGTAGAAGTACATAGGCATTATTTGCATTACTAAACGCATATGCCATATCTTAAAATAATGGGAACCCAAGCGGGTCTAATTTTCCCTCACTGTTAGGAGCGATCAGTGAATTAACAGTCAATTTAGTTTATTATCAGTTGGTATAGTGTTGGTATAGTGCAAATCACAGAATACAGTAGCAGGAAAATTCTTACAGAACCTTTTTTGGTAAAGAAAGGGGCCTAAAAATATTCAACAACTTGACTTAATCCATCACGTCAGCATGTCTACTAGCTTAGCCATAGAGCTAGTTAATGATCTAAGTTAGGAAACAGAATCGAGTCCCCATCAACTTTTCCTAAGGTTAAAACAAATGCTAAAAGTTCCTTTAGAATTGTCAGGGTATAAAGTCAATAAACAGGAATGTATTGGTTTAGTGGTGCAGAAATTAAATAATTCTTAGCCAGAATGTGATTAAGAGTATTCTAATTGCTAATTGCAGAATAAATATATTTTGACATGAATAACCTCAACTGTTCATATGCAAAATTTCTAAATTGTGCTGTAATAAAAAACAAAAAAATAAACTTAGGGATAATTGTATTTATGTGTGAAAAATATTCAAAAAAGTATTTTTAAGTAGTCTCTAATTGTCTCGCTTTAAAGAACATTAGGAATATTTATTTCAGGTATCCCATCAGAAAACATACAAAATTGAATTGTTTTTCTGAGTTCTCTGGCAACCAAATTATTGAATTAATTGTGTATTTACGTATGTTAAGTTAGAGCTTGCTGGAATTTCATTGTAAAAAACGAATATGAGTTTTACCTGAAGCATGTTGAAAGTGATTTCTTGGTGACTTTTTCTACTCCTGGTG